CCATGTGTTTTTCTTGTACTGCTATGGCCAAACAATCAGTGTATCCAAATTTGCATCCCCTTGTCATTGGCATATCTAATATGTATGTTGAATAGTGTAGGTGCCATTATAGAGCTTTGTGGGAGGCCATTGTTTAATCTTTTTACCTTACTTATGTTGTCCCCCATTATTATCTGAAAAAACATATCATTCAGCTTGTTATTAGTTGATACCAGATGGATTCATAACTGGCTGACCAACCACACTCAATGTGTAGTCCTTAATGGAACTGCGTGTACATGGAGGAAAGTATGCAGTGGGGTACCCCAAGGCTCTGTCTTAGGCCTTGTATAGGTGATACCTGGTTCAACAGTAGTAACTGCTAGAGGGATCTTGGAGTCCTAGTGGACAATCACTTAAATGTGAGCCAGCAGTGTGCTGCAGCTGCCAAAAAAAGCCAACACAGCCCTAGGCTGCATTAACATGTGAAGTGTTAGTACCATTGATAAGACCATCCTTGGAATATTGTATTCAGTTTTTTTCACAACAATATAAAAAATGTTGCAGCTTTAGAAAGAGTGCAGAGAAGAGCAACAAAGGTGATTAGGGGACTGAAGACTAAAACATGTGAAGAACAGTTGCAGGAATTGGATATGTCTAGTTTAATGAAAGGAACGACTAGAGGTAACATCATAGCAGTGTTCCAATATCTCAGGGGCTGTCACAAAGAAGAGGGAGTCAAGCTATTCTCCAAAGCACCTGAAGGCAGGACAAGAAGCAATGGATAGAAACTAACCAAAGAGAGAAGCAACCTATAACTAAGGAGAAATTTCCTGACAGAACAATTAATCAGTGGAACAACCTGCCTCCAGAAGCTGTGAATGCTCCAACACTGGAAGTTTTTAAGAAAAGATTGAACAACCATTTGTCTGAAATGGTATAGGGTTTTCTGCTTGAGCAGAGAGTTGGACTAGAAGACCTCCAAGGTCCCTTCCAACTCTGTTATTCTGTTGTTCTACAATGCTGGTATAGAAAGTGAGAAGCAATTTTGAAGGTAATACCGGTGAAGTGAGCAAAGTGGATTTCCGCTATAAGCAATAATTAAGCTTTCATTCCCACTTGTTTAATGACTTGGTTGATTCATAAAATTACTCCCACAAAGAAACTAAATAGATATTTCTTTCATTTCCTCCCCCCCTCCCATTACAAACCACAAGAAGTTCCTACTTCTAACTAGCCATTCAGCGTTATGGAGCAAAGAGTGAGATACATGACCTATTGTTGGCTGCTTATATGTCTCAAAGATGAAGTGCCAATATTTTCACTCTGTAAACTGTCTGAGCTACCACTCTTACACACAGTAAGCATTTTGAAAATGCTCTCTGGTTTAAAGCATGGTTGGGCTAATGACCAAGCAAAGTGGTAAGCATGTCTCTGTGCAATCACCAGTGCCTTTTCATCCATGCCTCCCTCCAATTGTTGCTTCAGTTCTCCTGGGAGAAGCTTCATTCCATTGACTTCACAACATATTCCCCTTTTGAATGTTTGATGGGGCTGATTGTAAAGATTACCTCAGGCTTCCAGACCTGGCACTGCTTCTGTCTATTGTAATATTGAAGGAACTCCAAGCTATAAATCCATGATATGGGATTGCTGGCGCTAGGTCACTGGCGCCCCTTATAGCCGATGGCCCATTTGTCATGGTGCTATTTAGTTATGCCCTCAGCTATTTGCATTTTGTATCAGTGGCCGAACCATTCCTTGCTTAAAGAATTCCATTCCCCCCCCCTTTCAGCAAATGCAGACCAGATGTTTTCCTGAGCCTTTTTTGCTTTCGAGAATATTCAGCTTCTATTGCTATTCAGAGGAATGAATTCAGGTGACAAACATCTTTTCCAAAGTATCACTTTCTCCATTCTTGCTTCAGAGCTGCCTGAATAAAAGCAAACAATTGACAGCAGTGTTCCAAATGTCACTCTGAAACAAATTGTCTCTGTTTCTTTAAGCCTCCTGTATTTTTCCATCCAGATTGCTGAAAAATAAAACGTGTGCATTATTTATCACATGTACATAATTATTAACATCAGGAAATTAAACTATGAAAAAAGAAAGCCAAAGGAAATAAAACCAAAGGAGGGGGGGAAGTTGCATTTTGCCTTTTTCTAGTCAGGGTGAAAGGGGTGTTTGAAACAATATCCTAATATCCTACAGTAAAAGCCCAATCACTGTGTTTTCTGTACAAAACTCCACCCCTTGGGTGCATGAGACTTGGAAAAAGAGTTGCCCTTTGTAGTTTACTATAACATATAAAAGCTGTTAGCAGTTCGTGTAGCCAGCAGCTAGAAAGCTTGCAGTTTTCCCCACCCTCTTTCTTTCTCCTTGTAAGTTGGTAATAAGATACACTCTTTTTTTCCAAAGTTCACACTAGAGCACAGAAGAGAACTGTTTAACTTGGAAGAATAATAACACTAGGCTTTTTGATTCTGCAAAGAGGTAAGCCACTGAGCTCAGTTTCTGTTGCATGTCTTTTTATTATTATTATTACACATCTGATGTTCCTTGAATCAGTTGAGTGGCAGAAGGAAGATAGTGGTTTCCATGTTGTTTCCCTCTCTCTTTCTCCTGTCCTGATTTTTCTTTTGATTATGTCTCTTTAGTTTGAGTGCAGAACTTACTCCCAGTGATCCGAAACTTTTTTTCAGTTTGAAAATACTGTGTTGAATCCTTTTTGTAAGTTCTGGTCTGTACTAAGATGGTCACATATTTTATAGGACAATTTGTGTGTATTGTTGCTAGGCAACATGAGACATCAGAGAATTTCAATTAACTATTTGCAAACTTCATATATTTGTGCTGCACACATGAATCGATTTGGGAGATCTGCTGGGAAACTCAGCTGGAAGAAAAGATTTAGTCTGATCCCAATAATATTCTTTAACTCTTTTTCTTCCACAGATACTCTGTCTCCTGCCTTAAAGGAGACAATACTCACAGATCCTAAAATGACAGTCATTTCTGCCATGAGTGGGGCTCTCTTAATTACCATTCTCTGTGAAGCAAGTGCACTAGTGTTGCCCAATTCCTCTGACCTATTCCTGTCAACTAAAAATTACACTGATGTTGAAGCAGCTTTAAAAACTCATCTGGATTCTGCAAGCTTCCCAAAAATCAGGAAAAAGCGATATATCTCACAGAATGATATGATTACCATTTTGGATTATCACAATCAGGTCAGAGGCAAAGTGTTCCCACCTGCATCCAATATGGAATACATGGTAAGCAGTCAGGTCTTTATTCATTTCCTCATGTATGAACCTGGAAGGATCTTGCAAATAAAAAAAAAAGTATAATCTATTTAAGTTTCACATTGCCAAATAATGTTTTTTCTTCATAAAAAAAGCCAAGGCAAAAGCTTTTGAAATTTCTATAATAGTTTGCATGTGCTGAGTAATTCAGACCATTTTTTTCTTCCTCTGCCTATGCTGCAGCCATGGCATAAACTAATACACCATTATAACAGGCTTCTTTGGATCATATAATCTGAATGTACTAAAGTGCTTGATTAATTCTGTATTTGATTAATCCTGTATTATATGAAAGCAAGAGTTGATTGTGATAATTATTCTGGTTATATAGAAAAATGAAATTAAGTTCTTTAAGGCTATAGTCCTGCATGGTATTCTCATTGCATATAATAGTATTTCTCAATCAACATGCACATGAGTGAACCATAAATTTTAAAATGTGAAAGTAGGCATCAAATATTTTTATTGCTTGGAGTTCTTCTGAGGAACTCCATTCTGTCTGAAATCTGGCCCTGGTAAGTCTAATCAAATGTGCATGTTTTTCACTTTTCCTATTGCCAATTGTTGTCTCTCTTGTTTGTCTATAATTCTGTTAGATTTCTTAGAACAGTAAATCTGTGATATTTTTTAATGTCACTTAATATACTATACACATGGAAGATTATTTTACATAATTATCAAATGTATCAAATGTTTATATGTAATTAAAAACAGAGCAAAATCTTCAATAATATCAAAAGATGGGATTATTGAACCATAATAGTGCCATTATCAAATTTGACAGCATAAGCATTAAAATGACCTGCTCATATAAATTTACAGTATAAGAAAATTAAAGTTAAAATTTCTATTTCACATTGTATCTCTAAGGATTTATACATTCTTGCATCCATTTTTTAAAAAGCTTCTGAAACTTCCACATGACATCATTTGATAATCCCTCCACACCAGATGTGTCAAACTCCCAACGTCACATGACATGTCACGACTGTTTTTCCATTGCCAGCAATGGGGTGGGTGCGGTTTTGGCATGACGCATCCGACCTGCAGGCCGGCAGTTTGACCCCCTGCTCCATACTATTTTGAAACCAGCCATGTGGTCATCTAAGTTTTACCGTGCTCAGAACATTAAGAATAGACAAGGAAGATCAAGAGCCAATCACTGCTTTCTCCACCCAACTGACAGGGAAAAAAAATCTCTATTATTCAGCAAGTATCCTAATTTCCAAGATAGGGACTCCTGGAATAAAATAACAAAGTGTCATTCTTTCTGAATGTATACTCCCACTTATGATGGCAGGACACAACCAAGTTTTTCAACCAGGCAATTTCCCCAACAGTTGCAAATCTAATGTTAGGTTGAATTATAGAGCCTAGGTGTGGGTATAATGTAGGAGGGAAATGAATGGCATGATTGAACCTCCAAGGATTGTAGGTAAAGTAGAATGATAGTGCAATTTACACCAGAAATATTTGATACTGTTAGGATATGGTCCAGCACCAAAACAAAATGGGAAGGAGAACACAAGAAAGGACAACTGAGTTAATTTTGACTTTTTATACGGGTAATGGTGTCAAAAGACATTTGGTGTTATAAGTCTACTGGGTCAGGATAATCTGCCTTTATTTCTTAGTGGATCTCATACAGGAGTGGTTCTTTCCCAAACCAGCAGCACTTTGTTTCTATTGTGGTAGTTCTAGTAATATCTCACATGAACCATCCAACAGATATGTGAAGTTTGCCATGTTGTAGAACTAGCCTGTTTCTTGGAGTCTACAGCTATCATATACAGTATGCTACCCAATTTTGGATAATGGTCACTTTCTAATATTTGATAATAAGTGAAGCATATTGAAATCAACCTCACCAAGAATCAGTAAAATCCTTTTTTATTGGAATATAAAAATTATATTCTGAACTGTAGACATCCTTCTGTGGGGTATCACAGAGTTTGGTTCTTTTACCACTACTTTTTCAATATCTACATGAAACTCCTAGGAGAGGTTTGGATGACATATCATCCATATACTGATGGTACCTGAGTTCATATTGAGCTGGGCTGGACATACCATGGAGATCTTTACTGTTTGCTAAAGGGGCCTGGATGGAATGAATCAGGCTAAACATCAGCACATTGTTGCTGGTCCAGAAAACATCTGTTGCTCTGTCTGCTCCAGTTTTAATTCTGATGGGATGTCACTTCTGAAAGAGCAGATCTAGACTTGGAAGTTCTAGACTCAGCTATGCTGGATTAACAGGGGGATTCCATGGCCCAGGAAAACTTTGCCTGCCTCAGATAGTGTGCCAATTATGCTCCTACTTGGAACAATAGCTCCTGACACTAGTAACTCTTCTAGTAGTGACACGCTTTACATGGAGTCACCTTGGAAAAACTGCAACTGGTGAAAAATGCAGTGGATAAGAGTTCCCACAACTAGATAAAATCTATATTACAGGCACTACATTACCTTCCATTAGGTGTCCAGGTAAGGAACTGGTTTCAGTCATGACTTCATTTCCTGATATATTTGAAAGCACCTCACTTCCTCCTGGTGGAAACTGTCCATCCTATATGGTTTTCTTAGGTGGGGATGGTTAAGGTTCCCCCATATGTGAGATAAAAAAATGAGGGCTCAGAAGTAAATCTTGTTGTTTTTTTATAATGACTACTTATATCCCTCTTCCCGAGGGCTGAGTGGCATTTACTTGGCACTTTTTAGGTATTCTGTTTAGGTATTATTGGCATTCAAGGCTGAATTAGTATTATTAAGTTGGAATTGGCACCATTATTGCGTAATGTTAAATTGTTTTATTGTCTTGTTCTTAGGATTTTATTGCATGTTTGTTTTTATTTATCTTATAAACTGTGAGAGTAAACCTTGATTATGGTGATATACAAAGGCAATGAATATATAAATATGAAGTTGTTTGACTACTTCAAACTAATTTGTAAGACTTCAGAGCATGGGTGTCAAACTCGCCATGTCACGTGACGTATCGTGACTTTTTTCACATTGCCAGAACTGGGGTGGGCGTGACCTCTGCATGATGCAACTGGCCCACGGGCCGGCAGTTTGACAGCCCTGCCTTAGAAGATTAAAAAAACATTAGATGTGAGAAAAAGTGCTCTTTTATCAGAGATTATACATTTTGAACTAGCAGAGAGTTCTACCTGACCTAGAGCCAAATTATATGCAAGGGAATACTTCGTTGTATCAATCTTTGCTGTAAATTTTGTGGTGATTAACCTTTAATGTGTCTAAAATATAAAATGTTTGTTCTCAATTTTTCTGCAAATTTCATCATATTATCCTTAAACAAAAAGTGTGGTTTGTTTAAATCTTCCTTTGGATGCAGGATGTGAATCAGATGGGTCTACATTTGGAAAGGCCTAAACCAGAATGAGCCATATCATGTTTCAGATTGGCTCCCTAAATTGGATCAGGTGATTCTACATACTAATTTTTAACTCATGTTAACTTTTTCAGACTATATCTTTTTTTTCAACAATAAAATTCCACAAGCAAAACCTCTAAGTAAAAAACCAATGGTGAAAACGTGGTCCTTTCATATGGAGTAAACAAATGAAAACTTTGAGGAAATAATAGACCAGATGGGAATTAACAACATAAAAATACAAATGGGTTTTCCTTAAAAATATTTGAATAAAAATCTAGAAAAGTACAATGTGCAATGTACTTTTGTATGTACATTTTGAACTGATAGTAGTTTACTCTCAATTAATCCATGTATAAAGTAATAAGATATATAGCACTTTCTCCACAGCAGTGTCTCTCAACCTCTGTAACTTTAAGATGTTGAATTTCAACTCCCAGAATTCTGCATGGAGAGGTTGAGAAGCACAGCCTTACAATAAGGAATGCAATTCATATTTTTGGTGAGTGTGGGCCTATTTCAGTGATTAATATTTGGTTTTCTGTGATGAAAGAACAAATTAATAAAGGAATTTAGTTACCATTATGAAATAGCAGAATTTCTACTATTGCATTTTTTCCCATTCCATCTCCTTGCTCAGTTTCCTTACCTTCCCCTCTACATGGTCATAAACTCTAGAATCGGGAGCAATAGAATGAATATGATGAAAATGGACAAGGCTCTTCCTACAACAAGCCTTTAGAGAAACTGACTTATACCAAGTCAACATTTTGCAACTATTCAGGAGTTGTTTCTTAGCTCGTGATGTGCAACTGTGAATTTTTATTTATTTATTTATATGGGCAGCCATTTAAATGCATAATCCTAAAATAATAAAAACCACACACACACACGCACACACGTAACCTCAAAATACAAATACAAACTAAGTTAAAAGTAACCATAGCACAGTAGCCAAGCGTGATAATAAACCCACAACACAGTTGCACCTGTTTTGGGCTCAACTATCATCCAAGCCCAGCAACTGGGGAAGAATCAGATCTTCACAGCTTTCCAAAAAAGTTTTGGGGCCCTCTGGATCTCAGGAGGAAAGCTGTTCCTGCAGGAAAAAAGAAGTTCAATATAGTGAAAATGTCCACAAATTGGCTATTGCTTGTCGTAGATGCCTTATTTCTTGTAATGTGTTCAGTGGCAATCCAAGGATAAAAGCTCAGGTTTAATGAATTAGCTTTTAATTTATTTATTTACTTTTACTGGCACGCAAGGCTGCTTTGCATTGCAAAAAAAAAAAAAAATCACCAGGAACATGAGGCAATTGATAGGGCCAAAGCCTGTGTAGTGAGGGCTAAAATTAAATATGGGAAGCAAGAATCAGCTTCCCTGGACTATTCTTTCTTTTCTTCATCATCTATGGCTCCCCCAAAAAGCTGCCAGGAAAGAGACAGACTGCTTCTGTCCAGAGATTGCACAGGCTTTTGAAATTGGACCAATAGATGCAGGAAATTAAACAGAGGGCTGTATACATTCCTTGAACCACAGATTGCACACTTTTGTATTAGGCCATATAAAAGGA